ATCTTGGGAACAATTACAAAAATGTCATTTTTTGTGTGCACATTTGCAAGAATGTCACTTAGGAGTGTCCATTTACAAAAATACCACTAATTATAGATTTATAAAGCCTATATCTTAAAATTCTAAACCCTAAAAAATGTTTTGACACCTAAAACCCCCTTAACACTCAAAACTAAACCCTAATAGAACATAATTAACTCAAACCTAAATAATAGAAAGAAATTTTTTTTTGAAAAAGTGGCATTTTTGTAAAGATTTCAAAAGTGTGGTATTTTTGTAAAGTGGCAGTTGAAAAGTGGCATTTTTTGAAATTTCTCTATTATCTTCTGTTAAATCGTATAAAAAATTGCATATCACCTAATGCTACATGAGAAATATTAAATCAGGCTTGCATATATACTAATTAAAATAATTTAATAAATAGTTTTGTCAGTTATTAAGAACACAATTTTGTTAAAAATATATGAATCAAAATGGAATTAAATTATAAATAGATAAGGTTTTCCACCCCTGAAAATTTTTGAAGTTTGAGTTGACCAAACCATTTTAACCCTTTAAAAATCTTACTTGAATAACAACATTATCCACGTTAGTATGCATTTTTTTTTTCTCCTTGAAGCCAATTTCATATCCAAAAGTCTTTAAATTGAGTGCGACGAATATTGAAAATAATTTTCATGGGAATTGAAGACTAGATCTTGCAGGAGGTAAAAATAGATATTCAACCAATTTAAAAAAAAAATACAAAAATGGACACAAATCTGATGCAAGAAGACAACCGATAACATGTTATTCTCTTTCAAATCAATGTCAAGGTGGTGCTTTACAAAGATAAATGAAAAGGTAACAAAACCGAAAAAGATATATGTGATGTCTGAAAATCATATATTATACATATGTGCAATGTATAGTTTAGTAGAACACATGAGATAGTGAACGGATTAGTTTGCTGTTAGTTTCCACCTCTTCTTCACAATTATTTTTAATGGAGAAATAAAAGATAATAAAGAAAAGTCGATTTGATGGAAATCGGTAAAATAATCAAACAGAAGACAATATCAAATAAAACCTTAAAAGAGTATTTGTAATCAAAATTGGTTTGTCAAGGTTTGTGATGGTTACATAATGAGTCAGAAAATGAATTAATGAGAAAACATTAAGAAAATTCAAAGCAAAAGAGATTTGTGATGGAAGTAGTTTATGTGATAGACTCAAAATGTTATAATAGTATTACTTTAATGCAAACAAACTAATTAGGGACTAAATACCAAATTTTAGATCTTCAAGAATCCAACTTGGAATACCAAATCTATAAATATTACATATTACGTACTTTTACTCGCGCTGATTAGGAAGAAACCATCAGGTGTGATTGGATTGTAGAACAAATCAACAACAGGTCTTGAGTGGCCATGGCACACTAGAGGAACCGCAACTTTTTTCTTATCCATTTCTCTTTTACTAATTTGATCGATAAAAAAAACACTAACACGAAATCGCAACCGAGTTTCTAATCTAAAACGATTCAAGGGAGATATTTGCCCTAAAATTCCAGAGAAACAACACGATACGAGATTAAATCCGACAAAACAAGAATGTTGTCTATTTCGTTTCGACAATCTAATTTGGAGGAAGTTTTCTTGAATCTAAATTTCGATCGATCTAATACTTTGATAATGAAGATTTATGCAGCTGCTCCAGTGGAAATGGTACCTTCAGAAAATTC